CTGAGGCACGAGAATTGCTCGAACCCGGGAGACGGAGGTTACAGTGAGCTGAGATCACACCACTGCACTCCAGCCTGGGTGACAGGGTGAAACCCTGTCTCCAAAAAAAAAAAAAAAAAAAAGTTTATGCTACTATGTAATGAGTATTTTATTGATTTTTAAATGAATGAATAAGTATTTTTAAAATTTATCAGCTTAGGCCGGGCATGGTGGCTCATGCCTGTAATCCCAACATTTTGGGAGGCCAAGGTGGGTGGATCATCTGAGGTCAGGGGTTCGAGACCAGCCTGGCCAACATGGTGAAACCCCATCTATACTAAAAATTACAAAAATTAGCTGGATGTGGTGGTGCATGCCTGTAATCCCAGCTACTAGGGAGACTGAGGCAGGACAATTGCTTGAACCTGGGGAGACAGAGATTGCAGTGAGCCAAGATCACACCACTGTACTCCAGCCTGGGTGACAGAGTGAGATTCTGTCTCAAAAATAAAACAAAATAATAAAATAAATTAAAATTTATCATCTTAAATTTCTTATATGGTACACATTGTTAGATGTATGCCACATATACAAAAGTTAATTCGTTTCACAATAATTTTTAAGTTGTAAAGGGACCCACCCTGAGCTTAAACTTTTAGAACTGCTGCTCTAAAGTAACCATTTAAAAGATCAAATAGGCCAGGCACAGTGGCTCACGCCCGTAATCCCAGCACTTTGAGAAGCCAAGTCAGGATCACTTCAGCCCCGGAATTCGAGACCAGGCTGAGCAACATAGTAAGACCTCATCTCTACAAATAATATGACAAAAAAAAAGATAAAATTAGGAGGTTTAGCTAAAAGTCAATAGAGGAGACGACATGGACTACTGAAAATATATGCAATAGACCCAAAACGACAAAGAGATACAATTTCAAAATCCATCAGGTTGCAGAAAATATTAAAAATCAGACAAATATCAAATGTTCGCAAGAATGTGGAGAAATGACAATTATTTTACAATGCTGATGGGGTGCACATTGGACACATCTTTGGTGAGCAATTCGGCATATTACAACAATCAAGGACTATGTCACACACATCAGACTGGCAAAAATCTAAAGGTCCAAGTTTTGGCAACAATGGGATAAAATGGAAACTCCTCCTCTGCTGGTAGAACGCACTTTGGAGGGCCACTGGGCAGTTGTCAGTAAAATCGAATATGCACGTACCCTAAACTCAGCAACCTATCCTAGCTCTATACCCTGGGTTTGTACTCTGCACTTCTACCAGGAAACACATGTGCAAAGATACTTATCCGTAATTGTTAATATTGTTACAGAAATAACCTGTGGCACACACTGTTGGTGGTCTACCCATATCCCTTTGGCATTCACCACTTCCGTGCGTGCAAATCAAAGAGCTTCCCACTGCCAGCACCTTCAATGCTACCTGAGGGTTTTCCCTGGCCCCCGGAGTCTGCTCAGCCAGCATGTGGAGCAGATTAGAAGCACCAGAGTGAACTGCCCCTCTGCCAGCAGCATACAACCAGTGACGACTGGAGTTGGTGGATAAATCCGCTAAGTCTCTCATCTCTCACTTAGGATGAGTCTGCAGTGCATTCTACGTTCTCCCAGGAATTCCCTGGGGGGATTGAGCCCACTTGCTCACAGCAATTACCTGTCGATGATGCACCTTTTACTGGTTTCCCTCCTCAGCTGTCTTACTTCCCCACTTCCCTGTCAGTGCTCACTGGAATTACCTTCCAAATAAACCATTTGCTCTCACATCCTTCCCCCAGGGTCAGTTTCTGCTGAAACCAGTACTTCATAAGTGCTTTTCGACAGGAAGATGGGTAAATAACGTGTGATACACAATGAAACAGAGGTAGCAGTTACAATGCATCCAGAGCTACATGTGCCAACGTGGATAAACATGAAACATATTTTGTGTGACAAAAGCAGGGTGCAGAATAGTAATAACAGTACAATGACACTTAACATAACTTGTATTCCTAGCTACCCATGCAGTTGGGGTGGCCACGTTACACAATTCTAGTCAATAAGATAGAAACA